TTAACTGTAACAATTTTGAAACAGTATGGCGACAGGAAGCTATTTACCTAAGTAAACAGTAAAATAGTTCATGAAACAAGAAAACATGCTTTGAAACTTAAATAACAAATGACTCAGGCCCACCTATAGCATGTGATTGTTAGTACAGTTGAAAAGCTTTCTAGCTGTGTACGAATAATTTAAAAGGAAATAAATTCATACTAAAGTTGGGTGGTATTAATCACGTTTTACTCACTGAGCTTAGAAATGTAATTGGAAAGCTCTCATTACTGTCCCAAACAGAATCACTGTTTACTTCAAGTACATATAAACTATTTAATTATTTCACAAGTGTTAAATTAGCTTGTTCTGGTGACTTAGTCTTTCATTATATGTCTTCACAATTATTACTGGTCTCATTTTTCTTTCTTCTGTTAATATCCTGGTTTGATTGGCTCATGAACAGGTGACTGTGTAACCTTTACCCGAAATATTGGTTAATAAAGTTTGTCAATATCACCTCTTGATTGCAAATTGATGTGAATACCATGTTCCCAGAATTTTGACTTTTTCCTAATTATATCCATGTCCGCGGTTATCTTCATCCTTTGATATAAGCGATGACATGTTATATCATTTTACAATTAGTTTTTATTCGTGTTTACGTTATTGGAGGGAGAATCTACTTCATCCAGTGTATGGTATCCGTCATGTTCAATCCAATTTATTTTTTAGATGGTATTGAATTCGCCCTCTTTTTCTGTTTTATCTTGCTCTCTGCATAATGTATGCTAAAGTGATTGTGTTAACTTGTGAGTTAATTCGGTTTTGGCCGCAAAACTAAAAGTGATCCATTTTGGAGATACGGACTCATGTTTCTGAGGGATAAGTGATATTAAGAGAACAGTTATTCATTGCTCCATAATTGTCGGTAGTTGTTCTTCAGCTAATATCGGTTCGTTATGAAACTAACCTATTCAAATAATTAATATTTATTATAAATACATTCTTGTTCATTTGCTGACTATTTTGACCTTTGATAACGTTTGACACTACGTAAAGTTTTATTTTCGTAAATTGTTATCTGAACATTTCATCTGTCGGTATACATCATTACTATGGATAGATATATTTTTATTAATTATTACTGAAGACTTCTCATAACATATATTTTTCCCGTATATAACTTCATTACTACCAAAAATTTATATACATACATAATTTTATCTGCTTCAAACAGTTCGGTATATATATATATATATATATATATATATATATATATATACATCATAATTTTCGGATTTGACTTTCATTCATTTGTTTTAATGTGAACAGATGCATGATGATGTTCACCAGGCGAATATGTTTATATACCATTTTTTTAATATTTTGAACTCGTCAGTGTAGTGTTTACCCATGTATTTGTGCATGATTTTATATAATACATATTAGACTGGATTTCTTTTTCTTTCTCATCTGCTTATTACCGATTCTGTTGTAGGAAGGAATAATGTGAACTTTTCATTATGGTATTTTCTGTATGCTTTACTGAATTCCCTTTGTTTTTCTAATACTCGTTATTGTCTTACACAATAATTGGTACAAAAAAGATAATAGTTCTATATAAATAGGATAAAGATAAATGTAGTTAAGTGTTAGTGGCTTCGGAGAATTATAGTACCACTACTACCATAAGTAAGTATAATAGTCTTACTGTTTCTCATCTCCCTTTTACTAAAAGGAGTTCATTTTATCTGCTTCTTTGTGTCTATGATTGCGTATTAATGTATGCTGTGTGTGGGTGTGTGGACAGCAAGGAGGGTGGGAGCTTTTTTCACTATTGTTTTTGTTTATATTTATATATTGTACATTACTGTTATGATCATTAGCTTCGTGTTATTGACCTTTATATAATTTGATGAATTAAAGATAAGATTTTATACTCTTTAAGCGTTGTCTACTTTCGTTTTTTTCTCGTTGTTGGCGCCAGTTTATTCATATGTGTCATTCATGGTGCTGTTTTCAGTTGTCATTTGTTCCGCTTTTTCTAAGTATGCCTGTTTGTTGTAGATGTGTAGATTTGCTGGTTAGACCAAGCCCACCCTTATATATATATATTTTATCATTTCGCTTCGGTGAAAAAGTACAGAGAGTATGAGTCAGTTTTTTCTGTTGTTAGCTCTTTTCATTCACGTAATAACAGAACACAACAACCAGTTCTAAAGAAAACAAAGTTATTTCTATATCATAATGATTCCATACATATCGTTTACACTCTATATATAGTTTAATAGAATCAATGTCAACTAATTTTTCCTGTACGTATTACTGCTTTTATGTTAAAAAGCCAAATAATGATCAACCTTTTATTTTAGTGTAACCGTGATGTAATCTGACTGCTTTCGGAGTGTCTTTTTCAATAATTGTTTTAATTTTCAAGCATCCGTGAATTAATAATAAAAGCTAACAGAGTTGTTTGCATTTTTACACTAGCGAATTAATTACCTGTAGTTTTTCTAATGATAATAATCATTCAGATTTGTTAGTGAATTTCTCATTTTAGTGATTAATAACAGAAGACGTTAGTTGAAGTGCTTTTGTAGAAGAGGTTGTTTCCATTTGGCGGTTTCGTCGTCCAAAATCGATCTTCGTTTAGGATCCATATCGATTGGTTCTAGTTGTTTGATGTTTACTTTTGGGACTCCTGGCCCTGGTTTCTGTTCCTTACGACATGGTAGATACAAACTGGGGGAATGCTCCATACCATAACAAAACAATTATTCAGTGCTCTGTGGTTTTAAATGATACACCAACTGAGATGAATCTGTTACGAATACAACATACATAACGTATTTTTTGTATTGTAATATATGGTTACTGATGAGTTAATTGAGCTTTCCTGATAATTTCAAGCTCTGGAAGTTTGTCCAACTATGATCTAATTGAACGAGCTCAATATTTAATGGTACTATCTAAAGTAATTTGGACTCTTTTTGTGTCCGTACGTTGTCTTTTGAAGTCATTAACAATGTTATCGGTTGTGCTACTGTCTTCTATTTGGAGTGATTATTCATAAATCTATGTATACGAGAGTTGTTTAATAAGTTCGAAGCTTCCTTTGCCTATTCCAGTGTAAACAGTCCGTAAGTCAACATTTAGACCATGAATTTGTATTTGGTCACAGAATTTTAATTACGTTAATAGAGTAAGTACTTTTGCGTTGCTGAAATGCATTTGTCCTAGGTATGCTTCCTTTATATGAGTCGTTCTTCTTTTTGATTCCGACAACTTAACCATCCCTTTTACACTTGTAGTTTGATTTAGTTTTATGAAAATTACTTTGGTATGTAAAACAACTTCATAACGAACTTACATCAATTGGTTTACCATTATAAACGAGGGGACAATCGACAGCGACTTCGTCGTCCTTTAGGTCTCCTTAGAAGTTTGCAACAATGAATCCATCAGGGACAGAAATGAGGACCTTTAGGTCTTGCACTGATCTCCTTAGTCTTAGACCACTGAGTTAAAATACAGTGGTTTACGTAAATAGCCCCAATCATTTCGCGATATAGAATGACAATTATGCAATCCTGTCGGTAATGACTGTCTCAGTCTCCATAGCCTACAACTTTCGAATAGAACCTCGGAGACTCATTTCGAAGTTTGTCATCAATACATATACGACTATCCGAAGTTATAAAGGTAAACCACTTGGTTTCCCATCCCACTAACCTAAAAGTATCACACTCACTGGGAGACTACAAGGTCCTGGTTTCTATCCTCGATAGAGTCATTGGTGTGCATACCTAGGGAGTCTTATTTTAAGACAAGACGGGTATTGAAACCTTCCCGGTTCTTGCTAATACCCAAACTGATATCAATTTGCGACAAGTATCACTTCTGAAATTTATTTGTAATTTAGACTGTAACCTTACAGAGTTCGTAATATGTATCTACTCATGTTACACAATGTGAGAATTCGTCTTATTCTCTAAGTTAATTCAGTATAGATTAGTTTACCGTTCTCTTAATTACACAATAAAGTTACTATCACTTATTACTTGTAATCACTTTATTTTGATTAATAGTTTTGCATTACAATTATACATATTTCATGTACACTCTATTTATAATTTAGAAAACCTTACTATTCAGTGTGATGTCTAGGTATAAACTTAAATTTTTTTAAGGATAATTACAGATCTGTTTTACTGATTGATTTAAACGTATATAAGATTTAACTGAGTGTAAAAAAATACATCACAATAGTCTATATGTATCTTCCCATTTTTCTCAATAGATATGAACTTTTATTCTTGTTCTGTTTAACTCAACTATTGTTTTTGTCCGCGTTCCTTGTCATTAGTTTTATTTTCTCTTAGTGACTTTTTTCTGTCATCTCGTTTTACAAGTAGGTGTGCAATAGTTTTAGTATATACTTGAAACTAAGCGTATTGAGATGTGCTTGACTACGCAATTATATGATACTTAAGTAGAGATTCTAATTGCTTCGTTTGATTATTTGTTCTAAGTAGGAATAACTGTAATTTTTAATTGGGATTGCGTACACAAGACATTTTGTTAAATGAACATTACACAAATCATAAAGTAATAATGGGTTTTGTTTATCTTTTTAGTTAGTATAATATAATAAGTGAATTCATTGGACATCTAGTGAAATGTCGAATATGTAACTAAAACCAATTATCTCTGGAGTATTTTTGTAATTTTGTTATTATTCAAGGTTTAATTTTCACGATCAGAGCCTCTGATATCATTTAGGTTAATGTATTCAGTGTAGTTTTCTGGGAATATTAACTTATGAAGTTTGACTACTAATGACACTTCAATGAATGTTAAAGGTTATGTCTATTAATAACCACTTAACAAGTCAGTTAATATTGAACAAAAGAAGTAGCTGAGAGTTGAGGACTTCTCTTCTTGCTGAGTTACACAAAATAAATTTTTCACTACATCGAATCATTTCGCTAATATATTTCATTCCTTCAATTTTACAGATATTGTTTGTCTGGGATTGAAACATAATCATCCAAATTGTAGTAATCATGAATCTCATCTTAAGGGATTGAATACGGATTCAGAATATCCTAAGAATATGATGCCATTATTACTACCACCGTCTGTATTATCTTCGTCGTCATCATCTTCCTCATCGTCAACAGAATCGACATCTGCAGAAACACAAATCTCATTAATTCGGATGGATCAGTCATGTGATTCAGGTAGCGTGATATACATATATATGCTCTAGTTTGTTGTAAATTTTGTGGTGGTATGTACTACACCTACTTTATTGTTAAAATTTTGCCTATATTGTTAGTTTCTCTATGGAATGAATGCACAATATTTCAAACCATATCGAAAGCGATTTGCTTACATAACTTGATGGTACTGAGGATTATTAAATCGTGGTTGTAAAATTTTGATATTCGGCATAAACCGTATGTTTTCATGATCATTTACATGTCATTTTATTCTTGCTGTTTGCTGCTGTGTCGATGATAACTATCGATTAACACGTATTGTAATACTGCAGTGTCTTGACAATCGCACTTCGATATATTAAAAACAGCTAACATTAGTAGTTCACAGTTTAGGATACCTCAAATTTTGTTCAAGATAAAGAATACACTATTACGTTTATAAAGCCGAATATATAGATATGTCAATGGTGTAAATAAATACGGAATAGCGTTAATATGGTATCTTTTGTGGTAAACAATCACTGGTTAAAAAATGGCTTCTCAGTTCAGACTTGTATTACAATTTGGTGGTAACAGTTTTTGTCCAGGTGGAAATTCTTGTACATATAGCTTCCCTTTTAAATATGATCCTTCCAGTTGTTTGAAGAGCAATCCATCATTAATTTGCGCAAATAGGTACCAAATTACATTTTTATGTAATTGACTTTAAGCCATGTTTTTTGTCTAATAAGGTTAATAATATTAACCAGCTACCGTAAGCAGAGCTTTAATGTAATTTAAACTTACAGCCCAATGATTGGAGGCAAAATGGTGAGACTATTAAGTGTTTAATCCAATTAATAATCAAACCACAGTTTCAAGATATCCTGGTTTTCTCTAAAGGGTTGGTTGTTATCATCTTATGCTCCAGATAGGTTTTCTGGTTTTGTTCGATTTAATTGACTTGCATTCTCTAGGCACTTGGGTACGAGCCACTCTCTAAGTGTGAAGGTTAATAATGCCACTTGGTTACTGAAACTGGATTAGATGAAGTGGTTTCGGACCTTGAGCTTAACAACTGAAAGTCGAACGTCTTAACCACTAAACCACCACTCCATCATATTAAACAGCTCATTCGAGTAGGCGATAGCTAAAGATGTATGATATATATGTTTTCAGCTTTGACTTAATTTCTCACTCCTGACCTTAGTATGACCAAAATTTTATCCATTCGCTTTTGAAAGTTTCATTAAGAAGTCTTTACGCCTGTAACTATTTAATTTTGGTAATTTTACAAGTAATCCAATTCTGTTTGGCGCATCATTCATGAATATTTGTATTTTCGATTTTAATTCTTTAGTTATATCATATGATCCAATTATAAATAATTCTTCAGCTCCGTTGCTTGCCAATCATGATACCTATGCAAAAACAAAACTGACTTACTGTTCACCTCAGTTTCTTCATAAAATACAACAAAAATTGCACATGAATTTGGTAAGCCCTGTTTCATCTTTAACCAAATGGAAGAAATTAAGAAACAATAGAAATTTTAAATTATCTACTTACTTGGTTCCATCCACAGATTTCAATCATACAACACTACTTTCACCACCACCAACAACAACTACTTCCACATCTGTAAGTAGTTCTGATGATGAAATACATAGTTGTAGTTTCATCTTATCTTCTAACAACCCTAAAAATGATAACCCTTTACAAAATTCTAATCTACATTTTAACCGATTTATTTCTATCAGCGATCATTCTGTTACAATAAATAATGAGAAATCTTACCTACATAGTCGTCTTTCTTCTCCCTCTCCTCTACACCATCTTAAACCATGGGCAAATATTTCCTATTGGGAATCACATCATCATGTTGGACGTAGATGGTATCAAATTACAAATCGTAAATTAAATATTGTCTACAATGATGTTAATATTAATGATGATGACCATAATAATAGTGATGTAAAGGACAAGCTGTATTCATCTCCGAAACAAGCATATGTACATAAGGAAAATCATTCAAATTATAGAAGTAAATCTCAAAGTGATTATATATATTTATCTTTACTAACTTTATATCAATCAAATCATGTAAAATATAATTGTAAATCAGATTGTAATAGAAGTTTTAATGAACTCGAGAATTATTCGACCACTTCCTCTATCGCTTGTCATACGAATAGGATTATTGGTAATAACAGTAGTATCATCAGATCATCTTCAAAACAATGCAAAAAGTGTTATAATTATGTGGATTCATTCAACAATGCATCTCTAATACCAAATTTAATTGTTCATTCATCAATGTATAAATCATCTTCTGGTTGGAGACAATGTTGTCGTCTAGGCAGCCAGGGAATTTCGCTTACACTTACCACTTATGGTTGTGTATGGTTAAGTAATCAAGCTATGGCTACAAACTTACCTATATTTGTATCATCACCTTGTTTGCAGTTTCGTAATACTAATTCTTCTTCCTCTTCTTCTTCATCGCTTAATAGTAGTACTGAAGACTTTCTTGTCGATAGACCCGTATATCGTGTACCAGCCGGTTATTCTCTATTAGTTTTCGACCTTTCATGTTATGAAAACTGGTTGCAACAACAGTCTTCTTCATCATCTTCAGCGTCATCATCATCTTGTCGTCAGTATTCCGGTAACAACCATAATGGCGACAGCAGTAATTTAAGTGGTAATAACAATAATAGTAATAATGTAGATTTTAACGAGTTGCACAAAACTCATTTGTGGGCAAAAAAAAACAATCTATGCAAAAATCCGATTATACATATAAGTTTAGGTAAAGGTTGGGGACCATCATATCGTCGACCAGATGTTACACATTGTCCAGCACGTTTAGAGGTGTGGATTAATTTAGAACATCTGTTTCCTTTATTCATTTCAAACAAATAAGAAATTGTAAAAATAATTTATTTTTCCGATATCATTTTCATTATCTCTATCCTCTCTTTTTCACTTATTTTTCTTATTATTGTGATTTAATAAAAAAAAAATATGTATATACATAACATGTGTAAATAGTGAGGAACTGTTATATACCACTTAACTATTAGCATTTTGTTCGTTATTAGTTTCTATGCTACTCGATTAATACTAATTATTATGAGTAAAATGTAGTATTCAATAATTGCAGAAATGTTTTCAAAGTATCTATACTGTGATATATGTATGTCTTTATTCTCTTCATTTTATCTGATATAGTAAGAATGATTACGTTAGCATTTGTGAATGTGTGCTTTTTTATGTGATGATCTCATGTATATTCTTTGCATATTTATGCATTTTATGAAGTGATTAGTTTTTATAAAATTTCTGACCAGTAAAAGTGTTTCTTTTTTTAATTATTGGGAAATTTCGGACGTATTTGAGAAGTGGTCAATGTAAAGGTTTACTATTTTAATATGTAAAATTGTGTAATTCACTTACAACTTATTTTTGTGTGTTTTACTTCGACCACTATCGTAAAATTATGAATTTATGAACTGTTGAGGCTGATGATGAAAATATTGAAGACCTATGTTTTTATATTTTTATACTTCTAATTAGGTTGTATGAGTTGTTTTTGAGGTGCATTTTTGACTCATCTTCATTTCCAACCCATAAAAATACTGTCTTATTCAGTGGATAGATCCTACATAGTAGTATCCGTAGTTTCCTGAAACCACATACTGTATTACATAATCAAACTATTATCACCAAACATTGTGTATTCTTGGAATGTGTGATTCTATGCTTAAAACTGATGATATTCTGATCGCTTCACGTTCATTGAGAACTGAGAAGTCACCAATTATTTTAGATTTTCTCAAGTAAGACGACTAATTTAAATAGTTCCCTGTAGATCGAAGTGTTTAGTCAGTCTCTGTCTGTTCAGTTATCATAAGAGCATTCAATTTCTTTCTTATCTAAATAAATCATAAGACTGATCTAAGGAGACTGAATGTAGTTTCTTTCAAATTTTATTCATTGACTTCAGACAATTCTTAGGTTCGTATGAAAGGACCCAGTTAACCGTATTACACTCAGCTTGATATGCCTGTTGTAACGTAGTGATACTTAGACGTACTGACAGAAAGATCTCATGTTTCAATGTCGATTAAGACAACGGTCAATTCCAATTGTTACATACAAACGAAGAAACAGCTAGTAATTATGCACCTCGAGTTGTTTTCTCTTTCAAGCAGTTTGAAGATCTGTGAACATCATAAACTGTATTGTCGAATAGACAAATGTATGACTCAAAGATTTTTAACTTTGAATATTTGTCGCATTTCAAATTAACACCAAAAAATCTTTAATAAAGACGACTTCAACATATTACAACAGACTGTGTGAATCCATATAATTTCATGATACAGTTGTCCCTAAACGTTTCACAACCAACTACTATGTTATCTAAAATCGCATCGACGAAAGCGGTGGTTATCTATGCCTGAAATATGCCCTAACTGCTTCAGTCAATTAAAATGCCATAAAAGTATTATAATATTTATAGCACTGGTTTCCCTTAAAGCTTATCTGTTTGTCAATTAGTTAACTGAATAAATTTTTCAACGAGAAACAAAACGTTTATTATGAACAATGTATTTCTATATCAGCCACCTCTTTAATTTGATTCAGCATTGAATTACTTTGTAGGTATATAGTAAACCACATAAAATCCTCATCATTGTTATGTCTTGCCTTGGATTTTATATTATTCTTGTTGTAGAATCCTTTTGTCTAAGTTGTCTGTCTTATTCGATAGTCAACTGCGGCGGGAGTAGTAGCATAGTTTATCATTTCTTTCGGCTGTACACTATCATCATCAGTAGATATCAATCTAATTCGTGGATCATCTATTATGCTCATGTGTCTTTAAAAGAAAATAAAGAAACACGAAAAAAATATTAATGAGAAAACATGTCATTTTTTGCAGGTATACTAAATTAATTAGGGATAACCATGATCGTTAGAAATTCATCGATTGTAACATAGGATTATATTGGTTGGATTTTTATGTAGAAACAGAATATGGTTTATAGTTACTGCGTTACACTGCATCTTATGTTAAATTATGGAATACTGAAGGAAATGAAGTGAGGTAACACTTTTGCATCCCATATCAATTTCATGTGTCAAAATGTCATCGATAGAAAATTCCAGTTTTATTGGTGATGTTGGTTTTCACTACTATCTGTATGAGACGGCGAACATATTCGTGATCTATCGGAAATCTATTTCGAGTATTTACGAGTAAATATCAGTTGATTTTTTTGGTACAGTCTCAGACATCCTATAAAAGTGAAAATTTTCTGTAATTAATGGTGCGTATACTTCGAGTACTAGATTTACTGTGATGATAAGGGACAATAAAGACGCTACTATCAAAAATTTTACAACAGGCTTGGGCTTTATAGTAAGAGTAATAAACTATTCCGTGCGTTAAAACTTTGATAACAAGATTCAATTACTAATCAAGTTGCTATAAAACTTAAATGTAGAACATTATAATCAATAATCACTTAAGCAGAAAACAAATATCCATTAAGGGTTAATATTATCAGATTTATAAAACTCACTTTAAATTTGATCGTCCATTTATAACAATTAATGAATTATCACCAGATATAACTTCACTATTAACTGATATACCGTCTAAATATTGTTTCAATAATAATTTTAATTGAATGTTTTCTTGTTCTAACATATTGTATTCTTTAATTATTGCTAAACGATCTAATTGAACTTTATTAAATCTTTTCCAAAACATTTCAAGTGGAAGGCATCGTTTTAATATCTGGAATTTTCAAAAATCAAAACAGTATATTATTATAAATTAATTTATTAGCTAAAAATAATTAAAAACTTTCACACAGAAATAATTGCTCATCTAAACTGGTTGTTCACCGTTGACATATGTGAGCTTTTTGAAAAGAAAACATGTGACATGAAGGTGAAGATTTTCTAACTCACGATGATGATTTTTGTTGAAGCTACGTTTTCTCGACCTGGTTGGTTTAATAGCTAAGCTCGAAAACGCCTATAATTTGATCGATAACATACTTGATGATATAAAATTCATCTTTAAAAAGAAAGCAAACAACTGACTAGTCTTCTTAGATGTGTTGATCACCAGAATCAATACAAGGAAACCAGAGACTCTTGTGTATCATAAACCAACCTATGCTGCACTAATTCTAAGTTGATCAAAAACAACTGCATACAAACTTGCTATTCGGAAGAGCGAACATATAGCAGTATAACTACCACGCAAAAAATGAGGGACAAAATAAAACGATCTTTTCAACAGGACAGCCACTATGTTTATCAACTCCATTAATAAGTACAAAATCGAATATTGAAACTAAAAAACGAATTATCCTGCCACATATGCAGAAAATAAAGGAAGTCACAATTGCATTGGGAACAGGCGTTGGTCACAAGCCAGTAGGAGCACTTCAATTTTATGCAAACCAAAAGATGAAACGATAAAAGACCAGCTGAATATCATTCAGAAAATAAACTGCTCTAACTGATATATATATATTCAAACCGAAAAGTAAGAAAATTGATAAAACAAAGGAAATATTAAAAACATATCACCTTCATCATCTCTTCATTCTGTTCTTTTTCGAACGATTCTTGCACAGCACTTTCTTCTTCCGCTGATAAAGATGATGAATAGAATGGTGTAACTTTTTCCTCTTCTGTCTCATACTTTCTGCACTGTTCACCTAACTTAATAATTTTCTCTGCTTTTTCCAATAAACATTGAACCTGTATTTAAATTTTTTTAGAAATTACATGAATTCATTTACAGTACAAACGTTTAAGAGCAAATAAAAACTGAATATATAACTACATTGATTTCACTAAGCTTTCATTTGTAAATTTCATAGTAGCTTATTCCCTCTTTGAGATGCTAACTGTGATTGAATCCATCCTCTTATTAGAATAAGCTAGGCAGTCATTTACTTTGAACTGTCTTGAATTTTAGTTAGCACTGATAAATGAGAATTTTAAAAAATCTACTATTCATGACTACGTAGTTTCATAAGAAATACTAGCAATTAGTATTTTTCACAGTTACCTTTTTTATAGCATCCCCACTTTCAACTGACATTTTAACCAGTTTTTCATGTTGTAGATCACGTAATTTATTGATTTGTATCTTCAAGACTTGAAATCGAACAACTAACTTATCACGTTCTTCTTTTAAGTTGCGATTTTTTTCTTCATATTCCTTAGATGTTTTTAACATACGACGTCTAGTAGCCGATATATTATCATTGATTTTTTGGATTTTGTTTAAGTGTAATTGAATTTCAGCAGCTGAACGTTCATCTTTTGCTTTTAAGTTTTCGAAAGATGTCTTTTTTTCATTGGTAGTTGTTGTGTATTGAGTGGAAGCCTGTTTGAATTCAGACCACAAACTATTGACCTTATTCTCCAAATTTATTCTCAATGTATGTTTTTCCTCCAAACTCTATATGAAAAATATATGCGAATCATTGTTTACTACATATAACAAATTTAAGTAACATAACTTACGTAGCAGAAGTTTAATCAAGCTTGTGGATGACAGTGAATTAGAAAAGAGATAAAATACATCAGATTTATATTAAAATCCACACAAATTAGTATCACAGGGTTTGAAGTCAACCGTATCGGCAGTGAAGTGATACCTTGACAACAAAATTAATTGGGCATAACACTGTCAAAACTCACAGAAGTTGAATATCTAAACCAATGAATTCTAACTCAGGTGTATAAATAAAATTCTCTCTATGAAGCTGAAAGGTCCTAGGACCGATTCCATGTAGCACCATTTGGTTCACATTGATCGAGAGTTCTAAGTTACACGAAATATCTCTTCATTTACTCACTAGTCTTCAATAACCCTATAACTGATATCAGCTCATGATAAATATTATCCTCAAATAAAAAATTAATGAACACTCTAGGATTAAAAACCAAACGATGAATAATATATGAGTAGACATTATATATGTGCATAAAACTAAAATTTAAAAGCGGAGAACGTAATAAATGAGGATCTGGAGTCTATTTTCGACAATACAACTAACAGTCTTCAACCTTTACTTTTGACGTCAGGATGAAAGTAAAACTCCACTTTCATACTTAACTCATATCAACAGTTAGTGGCTTGGTGGCCTCCCATTTTGCATTAATTAATCTTCACTTTTTTAGCTTAATGTAAATCTCTTCGGCCTACGCTAATTATTTTAAAGTGGGATACGGTGACAAAACAATGTTACATACTACTTATGTCTGTCGACATAAGCAGCACACGTCACAGTATCACATCTCTCAATCAATTTAATGATCACCGTTGCATATGATTTTATCAGCCGACTCATCTTTATCTGAATCTTTCTGGGCAACTTTATCACTGCTCACTCGATGATTCCACTACAAACGATATCGTCTATACTTTATCAACTAAAGTCACTTAATTATAATTAATGTTACAGAGCTTTGTAAAAGTAATGTCCTAGTTATGCATGAATGAAGATTTTTAAAAGCTGAATGTTAGACCTTGGTATTGTACTTATACAACCAGAAATCTGGATGGCAAAGATAAATGTTATCACTCGTCTAACCTTCTGTTGTTTGATTTTAAGCGTGAGAGTAGGGGGATTTTTAAAACTAACCAAAACATACGTTACCTAAAAGTTCATGTCAGTTTAAATCGGATATAACCATATTACTTAACTGTACTGGGATGAAAAATTGTGGATTCTAGCTCAAGTAAATTGTATTTTTACTTTAATGTCTTAGTAACATGAGTGATATCTAAAGTCCTAAATTCAAAGTCAATAAAATTCATAGAAATATCAATTGACTTACTTTATTCTTCAGATCATCCTTCAAACTAGTCTGATCAATTACAGCTTCATGTGCTTTGGCAGTATATGTAGAATCCAATGCAACAAATATATCTTTTAAGTCATTGACTTGTTTATCGTGTTGTTGCTTAGTAAAGTTTTCTTCTGATTTGCGGAAAAGTATGTTATTTGAACAGTTTTAAATACAGAATATATATATACGATCTACCTTTTAAGAATTCTTCTACCAAAGAGTGCAATTCCTTTTCATAATTAGTTTTTAATTTATGTAATCTTTGATTTTGTAAATCTAATTTTCATAAGAAAGATGAAGTGAGAAAATTAATTACATCCAACAAATAGGACAAAATTATTTTATTAACTCTTGTTTTATTAACCCTTGTTTAAGTACCACTATAGTTACGTAATGTTGATCATCAACTCCTTATCTCATATTGATTGAAATAAAGCATGTTAAATTCCACCTTATTAAACTGTTTTATATAAGACAGCTACAAAATCGAATCAGTCATTAGTATTTTCCTAACCATTAATTACTCAATGAGAAGGACTTAATTGGACGACTGATCTTGTAAGGGAATGAATACAGACTCATTATAGAAGTATGTGCTAGTGAATTTTATAAAATGAATGTTGGAGAATGTTGTGAATATCCAGAATGTACTTACATTTCTTGCTGAAGAAGAAAACCGTGCTGACACTATATGTCACCTAACTTTAGGTATTTCTATTGATGAACGATGTTGCGAAGTCAGTCCAACCTATTGTAAAGCCTTGCACATGTGTACATCGTTGTGGCACTTGAAATCATCAATTACGATGGAAGTTTCCTACATGCTTTGATCCAATATTATAATATTCGAGAAAACTTTGACTAAAGTAATATATTCCTTTGATAAATCTTTAAATGATACTGAACTACTGACTTACGCATTTTACCACTCATGGAGGAGCATAGGCTACTCCCAAACATTTTCCATCTAACTCTGTCCAGGGCATTCCTTTCCGGTTCTTTCCAGTTTCTCTCCATCCTTTTCATATCTGCTTCCAATTCTTGACGCAGTGTGCTTTTTGTACTTCCTCTTTTTCGTTTCCCATTAGGATTCCAAGTTAGCGCTTACTTCGTGATGCACTTTGATGATTTCCTCAATGTGTGTCCTATCCACCTCCAACGTCTTTTTCTAATTTGCTCCTCAGCTCGAAGTTGGTTTGTTCTCTCCCATAGTAGGCTGTTACTGATGGTATCCGGCCAACGGACATTCAGAATCTTACGTAGAAAGTTGTTTATAAATACTTGTACCTTTTTGATGATAGTTGCGGTAATTCTCCAAGTTTCAGCTCCGTGCAGTAGATCTATATTGACGTTCGCATTGAAGATTCTGACTTTGATATTGATTGGCAGTGTTTTTGAGTTCCATATGTTCTTCAACTATATGAATGAGGTTCTTGCTTTGCCAATCCTTACCTCTACGTCTGCATCAGATCCTTCCTTGTTCATCGATGATACTACCCAGGTACGTGAAAGTTTCCACCTCTTCCTGAGTTTCTCCACCAAGTGCGATTGGGTTGGTGTTCTCTGTATTGTATTTGAGGATCTTGCCCTTTCCCTTGTGTATGTTGAGGCCTACTGATACAGAGGCTGCTGCGATATTACTTGTTTTCATCTGCATTTGTTGATGTGTATGGGATAGAAGGGCAAGGTCATCCGCAAAATTTAAATCTCCTGGTTGATTCCGAGCTGTCTATTATATTCCGTGCTTCCTCTCAGACGTCGAAGTCTTCATAATCCAATCGACCACCAGAAGAAAGAGGAAGGGGAAAGTAGACAGTCTTTTTTGGCTCTGGCCCTTACTTGGGAAGCATCCGTCAGCTGTCTTCCATGCACCACTTTGCACTGTAATCCACCATATGAATTCCAGATAATGTCGACGTTTTTCTTTAAATGATAGTAAATGCTAATATAACTTGTCGATTTAAAGAGGAGAACACTGCCTTAAGGCCGAGAAACACAACTAGGGATGGAAGTTGTTAGGTATGTCTCTGTTTCACAATCTTGCAAAGAGTGAATGTTTAGTCTACACATCCATGTCCAGTATTAAAACCAACATGATTTCATCAAGTTCGCTCTTCACGAGCCTAGTTAAACGTTGGTGTTTTAGACATTATATTAGTCAACCTGATTTCTTGGTGGCTGCCATAAGAGGATTTTTGTCTTTTGTGTAAGACTGGAACTATCAGTAATCTAGACCAATTAGCAAATACGACCTTTGTCTAATCAGTTTACCTATATTGATAAAATGTCTTTGAGTTCGTATTTCTTTAGAAGTACTTTCAACCTATGGTAAATATAGAAGGTATAATGGTAAGGTTGACATTTGTTGGAAAATCGATAATTTCTAGATAGTGGATTGAAATATTGCTAAATATCGAAATGAAGAGAATCCAGTATCTTGCTGTGTATTTATTTTGTGTTTTAACAAGAAATACTCATATTTGAATAAAAAATTTCTACACAGTGTTCTTACGTGAACTATCAGTCAGTTAGCTACCACGTAGGACCAGGCACATATGTGCATCGGTCCAAGTTACCATACCGCATTAGCACATCAAGATGAACACCAGATTAATAGGAGTAGTTAGGTCAATGGTGGTAATATATAAAAGACAGATTTCATATTAGGATATAGTACAGGAAGAAAGGTCTAGTACATAGAAAGAAAGATATGAAGCGATTTAATCTCATAGTTTAAGGGAGGACAGGGAGTGTATACACCTAAACCATTGTGATCGATTCTGAGCCATGTCACCAAGAGTCTCCAAGCATTGGTTACGAGAGTCACGCGGACCCCAAGCAAATAGTCTGCATCTACCGACATGGCTCGGACTCGAAGTTAATGACTTTATGAACTGATTTCACGTTTTTGTTTGTTCGCCCCTAACCTTCTTCCAACCATCCCCCACACCGGTTAGCATTGCACGTCGTGGTAATCGGTGTTCAGGCATGAGCAACACGTGGCCTAACCATCTCAGTCAGTGAAGGTTCACAACCTCATCAACTGACTTACCATCATTCCCTAGTACTCTGAGTATAACCTCACCATTACTTACCCACTGATCCCAGAAGGCGCGACCAATATTTCTACGACATCTGTAATCAAATACTAGTAGTTTGCGAGTATTCCCTACCCTTAATGCCCACGTTTCGCAGCCGTAAAGTAGAACAGGACGAACTGTCTCACAGTATACTCGTCCCTTAATTGATAAACGGGTATCTCTCCTTAGCCATAGGTGATGTAAGTTGGAAAGAGCTAAAAGAGATTTCTGAATCCGTGCTGAGATTTCGTCAGACACCGACCCATTAGTGTTGAACAGACCTTCAAGATAATTGAAGTTGTCGACGCATTCGACTACTTCACTCTCTATCCTTAGTTCAGATGTTGACGCAGACCAGTCCTGTAGCAACAACTTGCATTCAGAAGGAGAGAAGCGCATTCCAAACATTCTGGCATTGTTGCTTAGTGATACCAAAAGACTGCATTTTATCAGCGTCTTCACCAAACAGGACTATGTCATCTGCGTATTCTAAGTCGATAAGCGAACCTCACGGGAGGAGATCTGTTATATTCGGTCGTCGCTGATTGCTGTGCCGGAAAAACGCTGATCACGTATACTCGGAATGAGGGACCTCGGCAATTTCCACGATGCGAAGGTAAGAAGACAAGACTGGTGTAAGTGAAAATTTATTAGCTCAAAAAAATTATGACGACGACGAATCAATATAGTCTAAAATGCACTGGTTTATACATTGATTGTACACCCATTTTGATTAATAGTTAGGATCAAATCACATACTCAGTTATAACAAATCACTTACTGAGCATACTTCATGTCAGGTGAATACAAGAATATCGTATATTATGCAGAAGAAAATATCATACTGGGAAAACAAATCAAATACTACACTGAATGATCACCACATTGAATGAGAAGGAAAGTAATGCCGAACAAAACTCATAACGAGTAAATCAGTCGAAAATTGACTCTTCTTTGTATCATATCAAGTTCAATACCAGATCATTCAGTCGACGTGAACGTTATTTCCACCAGTCGGTCTATGATGAAGTTAGACAAAAAACAGAGGTAGTGGACAGCCTTGACGGACACCATTTGAGGTTGCAAAAGCAGATGACAGTTCGCCATAGGCTCTGACTCAACTGGTAGTGTTCGAGTAAAGAGCCTTCGCAAGGTTTATGTACTTCTTACGTGAACTATGACCGCCAACGGTTTTTTCATTTTTGTTATTAGTTTATGAATTCCCCTCTACGATTCCTTCACAATACTTTCATTTACTTTTGTTATACAGACAAGGTGTTTTTCAGTTCCAGTCGTCAACTGTGCATGATTATGAATTTTTATTACCACAGACCGTAATTTTTAGTGGCTACCTTGTGATTTGTTTGTAACTTGTATGACATCAAAAACGTCTGAAATTTTACTGATAACCAGTAAAAGTTCGAATTGTCACAAATGAACGTCAACCAAATGACAACCATTAATTGCAATAGTATAACCAACAAACCAATAATACGTTACAGTTTAGCATAACACCCATTTATTTGCCTGCATATAAATATAGTATTTTTGAATATATCTATCTAAGAATGACAACCAATATGCAAAGCTGATTTTATAGCTTAATTCTTCATCCATACCACAAATAGTATAGTGATGACTGACTATTATTAGCGAAATGGATGTTCAAGTGGCTGACGATAATGAATTACTCATGATAATGATAAACATCACTGATGAGCAACAATGTCTTCAGCTACTCATTACATAATCCAAATAGTGTTGGTCAAATATATCACATCGTGATAATGATAGTAAATATGATTTAATGCAACTGTACCGCAATATTGATATCTCATCGGATAATCAATTGTTACATGAATGGTTATTACGCAAAGAAATTCTGTTAAAAAGTTGACTGTTATCAGAATGGGTTTTGTGGAGATTTTACAAATTTAACAGATTGAAATCATGAGTCAGTTGAAGCTAGACTACCATTGAAAACCTGGAAGCACTGGACGGCCGTTTCGTCCTAGTATGGGACTCCTCAGCAGTGCGCATCCACGATCCCGCACCACGCGGGGCTCGAACCCAGGACCTACTGGCTTCGCGCGCGAGCACTTAACCACTAGACCACTGAGCCGGCATCCAACGGTGTTAATGTCTAACTTCAACCAATCCACGAAGTTGCGCCACCGTACACCATTGTCTTCAGTTCTAGTGAGAAGCCGTCACCAGTGGAGTTCAACCAGGTCTGTTGTGAGATAGGAACTCACTGAAGACAATGGTGTACGGTGGCGCAACTTCGTGGATTGGTTGAAGTTAGACATTAACACCGTTGGATGCCGGCTCAGTGGTCTAGTGGTTAAGTGCTCGCGCGCGAAGCCAGTAGGTCCTGGGTTCGAGCCCCGCGTGGTGCGGGATCGTGGATGCGCACTGCTGAGGAGTCCCATACTAGGACGAAACGGCCGTCCAGTGCTTCCAGGTTTTCAATGGTAGTCTAGCTTCAACTGACTCATGATTTCAATCTGTGAAAAAGTTGACTGATTGAACTAAATTGTATGGTTAAATTTTACACAAATAAATAAATTCTCGGATATTTATTCAAAAGTTCACTACGATTTCCTTTATTAATCTGCTTAGTAAGATTCTATAGAATACGATCCTCACAACAGAGTAGTTAGTAGAATTAATTAATATAGTAGCGAGTCCCAAAAGTAGTAAGGCACTGCATCGTAAATTGACAGACGTTTCTTGCTAGCAGGTTAAATTGATTTGAATGCCACAAATATGTTCCTCTTACTTCTCATTTATACGTGAGATTATTATTATTGCAACCTGGAAAGCTTTATTACAATGAGTCAAATATTTTCGAGTAGTATTCATATCTTTCATCCAAGACTATCTAATCGACCGATGCAAGCAACAAATTCAAGGGCAAAAAACTGTTGGGTGTGATATACAGGTCATGATGAAATAGTCAACCAGTATAAGTTCTTTAGGTCAAACGAAAAACGCTATCTACCTATTAAAATATCTACATTCTGTAGATGAGAACGCAGAGCCATCAAATGCTGTTCATCTGCCTCACTAAGATCCGCAACAAGTGTTTTGATGATACTTTCTTTTCTTTGAAAAATATTGAACAAACAAATTGATAAAAAATTTAAGACATTGACGCTTTACCGGTCCATAATTCTTTCAAATGTTTGTGATAATATTTCTATAGTTCTTTTCAATTCTTTTGACTTCGTCTCTCTCATAATAGTTCGCCAATAATATGTCAGTTTTGCTTTATTAAGTTTAGTAAACTTTTCTTCATGATTAAGTTTATCCTATATTAACAGTCGTTAGTTTTTAAATTGAAGGGAATTATATTAAAAACTGACTTGTAGATATTGAGTTAACAGTGCCATCTTTTTGGTTTTTAGTTCTTCTTCAGCAACTCTTTGTTGTTCAAGGAAAATCGCTCTTTCTTCATCAGTCATTTTTGTTAGTTTCCCGGTTTTCTTTTTTCTTTTTGGTGCCATTTTTGTCTGTTTTTCTATTGATTTATAGTCAGTGGGAGAATGCTCAACTTGTATATTGTACTAAAATTTGCAATCTATCGAATGAATAAGGCACAGATTATAACATAAAAAGCAATAAAACACACGAATTGTAACGACATCAATATCTCAAATATGTACAGTGAATTAATGGATTTTTAAACGTTTCCGGAGACGTAAGAATAATATTTACTGTAAACATGCTGACCAGGTTGTTACAAATATGAATTAAGTGATAAAAAATGAAAAAGTTACTGATCATTACTTAATTCGAACAAAAAAGGCTTTCTAACAATTTAACATGCTGACTAAATTACGTCGGTAAACCCATTGTATACTACATATATTAATAAACAACATAAATGTATTTGCTTCAGTGGAATTCATTGGGTTATTGATACGGAATTTAGGCCATATTATTCAACATCGGGATATATGAATTACGCTTGTCAAGAAAAGAAGAACTCCGGAGTCTAATGTTACCGATGTTACTCATTACAGTAATCAATGATAAGGGCCAATATTTTGTTTGACTGACTGAAGCTTTTCACCAGCCTACTTCTATGTTGTCCAACACTGTGCAAAAAGGTAGATGGTGGTTTGTTGTATTTAACAAGTGACTAAAGGACCCAATCAGATGAAAGGTAACCAAACTTTTGATATATGAGAAAGGGTCGACAAAGCAGACAAGATGTAGTATATAGTTCGAAAATACTAAAATCATAAAAAAAGACTCGTGAAAGGAAGTATCTTCTTTATTCTGCTTTCACAACAAGAAATTTCCAATATTTACCTTTTTGGCATAATGTCTAGTCTGCTTTTACACCTTTCAGTATGTATATAAATGTTCGATTTTTGTTTTCATTTCCGGAGTTAGCGATTATTTAGTAAACGCTATTGTGTTTACTTCGTTTTGTTTTAACTGAAAAAGTGCTTTCCAAAATTATCATTACGAAAACTGCAAGTATTCCTAATGGTTTTACAGACATAAACTAGTAATATGGAAATAATAGTGCTCAAGCTAACCTTTAAACTAAATAGTGTGTAGTGTGATCCGAAGATATTTTGCTTTCAAATGAAATTGCTGTCCATATTTGATTTTGAGTCTATTTATTGATAATCTAGTTTTCTGCGTACTTGTCAGTCATGAGTAAAATCTTATTATAGATAAGACGAGCAAATGAAAAAACAAACCGACCTCTAAGTCATCCATTCAGAATAGGCATGATAGTTAAATTACTAAATGTGTGTTTTGCTAGATCATTTACCTGAATGCTGTTTAGAAAGACAATGAGAGCTTTTCAGTCAAACCATCCAGTTTAGGGAATAAAATTCCGTTGAAATCATCCATTTGAACCATAGTTCTACGCTATGAATTAGTTAATTTAGTTATTTATTTTTATAACTGTTGCTGGAGTTTTATATTCAAATACACAACCACGTTCATGATTCTTCATACCAACAGGTGAATCTAAGCAACACAACTAAATGTATTACCAATGTTTGAAAATGAGAAAAATCTTCTAATCACTTTGGTATATTGTCCTAAACAAATTACGAATTATTAATATCAAGTATATAGGCTATTTCTTAACAGCCAGTAGGAAAAGACAATAGATCTTGTTAAGTTGGAACTGTTCAGTAATTTTTGGTCGTTTATTTATGTTCTCTATTTAGAACCACAGTTAGTAAAGCCAGCCGACTTCATATCTGAACTCATTATTTTAATACTATGTAGATAAAAGTAATTGGTAGATAGTTTTCTTTAATTTTTAAATTATTTAGTATTAGTCATCAGCATTTATGAACTAAGTATGTGGCTTCATAGACGAGTTAAATACTAATTTTAGCTAAATATCTGCGCCTGGCGAAATCCCTGCTCAAGTGGTTATTAAACCGTCTTTATTTTTGTTGCCAAAAAATGAGTACGCACAGACTGTGTGGTTTCTCGAAATCTACAACCATATAGGTTTGTAGATTACTATCAACCACACATATACATACATCTATTTATGGCTGATAATAGAAAAATCATACGAACAGTTATCTAGTCATCTACATACTCTGAGGTATTATTGCAAAGATGGCTGACGATAATAACAAAGCGCAAAGAAAGAAGCAGCCAGCATGTCAATGTAAAGGTAGTCCGAAATGTTACGTTCCAGGGACTAACAACCTGTTTGGCCAAATGTGTTCATATTATCTGATCCTAATAAACTTTCGGTCAGTTATCTTAATTTTTGAATAAAAGAATAATTTCTGTTATATTATCACTTTACAAACTAAAATGTTTGTAAAAACTACCCGAGCTCTTAAATTTGGGGAAAATTTGGCACATTTTGGGGAAGCCGCTATGGTAAGTTTTGTAGAAATAGCACAAAAACCCCAAAATTTCCCCAGACGTGAGGGAATCCTCCAAATTCCTCTTTAACCTTGGTCAAGGTCATTTGACTTTGGGGATTTCCCCAAAATTTCCTTAAAATTGGAAGCTCAAGTAGGTTTTTGGGTCAAGATAATTCCGAGATCCATTTGTCACCCCATGAGTCGTTCTAACAAAACGAAAACCAAGAACTAGCTTTTGACTCATCCCGTATTACTAGTTCTCGAATTTTATTAACTTAGTGATGGTCGTATAATATGTCATAATTAATCCGCGAAATAAAACATTATGGATGAGGTTCACCCTTGTAAACAAACTCATCACGCAAACGTCAATTGAATGATATCAAATGTCAAAATAACCATACATTTCTTGAGTTTTTGAGTCTTCTGAGCAGAAATTACATGTAAACTTGTATTTCTAAGCAATCAAACAGCTTGTACTAGGTATCTAGGACTTTTAAGGTAGATAAACAAAGGTTAATCCAATATCTATGTTCTAAGCTTGTAGGCGATAATCCAGTGACTCGACCGAATTACTTCTATTCGGTGTGGTAGTTACTGTTGGATTATTATATTTTATAGTTGAGTCACTACATTTGTCTCAGAACATCAAGGTTTCTGAATACCAACGAATATCAAACTATCGAACAGGAAGTTGGTTGGTTGCAATATGAAAATAATGTGAGAATTCACGTGCTATGGGAAGATAATTATAATCAAGGATAGATAATTAATTTACCTAACTGATAATTTGTCAGAGGGCGAAACTAGAAGAATAAAACGAAAGCGAAGATAATGATAAGAGAGATAAGAAGTAGTTACTGATATGTTGTAATGATAACCATGGTAATTTCTGTAATATGTATCAGACAAAGTTCTTCTAAGCGTGGGATGGTAATCCATGGGTGATTACGTTTTTGTCAAGTCTCCATCCACTGAGGGGGATGTGATCACTTTGACTGAGAGACAGTTTCGAGTGCAGACAACTTATAATGGAAAAACGTAAGAGCATACTTTGGTGCTCACTATTTACCTCACGGAGATCAGTGATGATCTGGTAATATGTTCGTGTTTAGGCGATTCGGCATACTTAATATGTTGTGTTTCATTATCAGACCACTTCTTGTTCCCCTGCAGCTCAGAGATAATAATCGTAGGTGCTGTAGTCTGTCCTTGGAAGATTTGTGTTTTAGCCTTATCACCTACTTGGTTACTCACCTTTGTACTTGGTCTAAGAGATTTCTATCTATTTTGAAGAGAGGAGGCATAGTGACATTGTTAACCTTAAGAAGAGGCAGAAAGTTTGTTCTAAACAGCGTTGGGAAAACCTCTGAAGTTGTCTACAAATAAAGTAGGGGAGTTGAGTTTACCATCGTGTTTAAACTGGTGTCTAGGCTTTATTTTGTTACAAGCTTCGGGATCACGCTCTGAAGAGTCAATCAAGAGCAACCTTCCATTGAGAGTTTAGGTTCTTTGTGTTGACCGAGGCAGAATTTTCACGATATGATATTTCGAAAGGCCATATTTAAATATATTGCCTACTCTCCACACTTCTACATTGTATACAGTTTTGATTTATACATAGATCGTAAATTGGCGTTTCTCTCATTTTAGCTTTGACCGGTTAATGACTGTTACACAACCTAGTGGTCGAAAACGAAAACGTACCACGTGTGCATATTTTTCTCATTCGTTGATTCGTGGCCTGCTGACTAACTTTTTTTGATTTATGGTGATCGAGTTGATATAAAATAAAACTAACAGCTCGACGAAAAGCCTCAGTCATCTATTCTCCACATATGTGAATACGAGCTGATCATGACAGAACTTAACTTTTTTCAAATCCAAAACAACTAAAGGATTGTATATCTGCAGTAAACTGGGAGGTAAATAATAAGGATTAATAGACAGATACGTTTCAACACGGTTAGAAGTGGATATATCTAAGAACACTAAACCGGACACCTGATGAAACGGTAGATTCTCTAGTGGGCTGTTTCTAGACTCTTCTTCGACGCTTGATTGAATACATTCATTCGGTATTATCTATTAAACCGGACGAGGTCAAAATCAGTTTTCGGATGATAGAGGGTTATTTTAGGGAGCTACTTGTCACTACACAAGAAACTATGGCTTATTTCAGTTGTATAACAAATTATTACAAGCTCGTGCATTGATGCACTTCCATTAAACGCCTACAGTTATGAAACAACCTATCATTTTTAAAAATTTTGCATCTGTTTAATCTTTATAGATAAATCATTATTCGGATTTTTGTGTAATTTATTTGTGAAAGATAAGTCACCCTTTGCTAGAAATTGTGAATAGTGGTTACAACCTTCAAAGTCTTTTATCTGTTCTAGCCTCATCAGTGAAAAGATAACTTTACGGGTAGTGCAAAAGTAATATAATGACAAACTAATTGCAGTGTTGTTCATTCGTTGATGATGATTGAGTAATTTAATCAATACTGTAGTATTTGGATGAACAAATGATATTCTCACCACACTTAACCCCATCAAACGCGCTGAACGTTTGATTTTCTTTATAGGCAAACAAAAAATGGAGAATTGCTACAACCTTATCACTGACATGAAATTTAACTCGTGTCCCAGATCCAATAACGTTCATTACCATCCACCAGTATTGTACTAGCGCGCAAACTGTGTTTCGATCTTATAGCAGCAGTCTCTTTAAGATGAAAAAGCACCTCTGTGTTACAACTGAATAAAATCCTGTAACGGGAAACAAACTATTATTTCAACCACACTTTTATCATGATCGAGCCAGTCTGTGGAGTTTAGTAGAATAATTGATGTTGAAACTTTGTTGTCGATAAGCGAAAAATTGCTACAATAACTCCAACCGTTTGTTATTCCGAAAGCAAAACATCGGCACATTGATATCAAACGACAGTTATAGCACCTAGAACAAGTGTTATCACCGAAAGACTAAATCAACAGAAAGTCTACAACGATAAGTTGTTAGTGAATAACTGTCTTGATTTTGTTAACATAAAACAAACATGATTTCACAATACAAAGTTGCTCGACTACGATTATATTTTGGGTGCCAAAATAATAGATTTCAGCCTGACAATTCGCAAATGTTTTGACTGTTATATTTTTGAGAAGTCACTTTATATTGGAAATTTCCTTGCCGTATTTCCAGTTCCATGAGCTTTTGTCTTCGCTCTTTTGCTGTGAATATAACTGTCGCAATTCCTGATCCATTGACATTACATATCCTATATCTGGGTGTTAAAGGACTTAAAGTTTCAATAACGGTATTAAAGCAACGGCGATACGGCAGCTCACAGTCTCTTAAAGCAACTAGCATTTTGATATTAGAAAAGTTTTGACAGAGGTTATATTTGACGGTTAAGTCTTTGAACCTCTGAATGTCGAGGATGAGTTATTTCGTAGTGGAATCGTTAAATGATCAGATATTTTTTCCCAATAAGAAATGAATAGATTGTTGTCACTATTAGGATAAATGTGTAGCAGTAAATAAATTTCTAATATAAACAGTTCTTTAGGTCTTCGACATTGGTTCTCATCACATTAGTCTTACTGGACACTCTATAAAGTTATACGACTCAAACACACCTACCAATTTGCAGGGTTCATCATCCATGGTGACGAAATGAACAGTAATTTTGTTAATCTACTATGAGTCTACTTTTACTACAGTTGAAGCATTTAGTATAAGGAAAGACATTGTAGATCACCAACGTAGATGATCTATGTCGAAATGATTGGAGGCCTACTCGAGTTAGACGTAAATGTTGTGACAAACTAGCTAATGTCGAAGTCACACCTCGTGGTCAGCACTTAACGTGGACTACCCCATTGACGTATCAAGGTACCATAGATGCTACGAAGACTGTACAACACAGAGGAAGTTATTACAGAAATATATTAGTTAAAGTAGATACAAGCGAAATAAAGAGACCGATGCCTCATGGGCCAGTCCATGGCATACGACTAACTGATGCGCGTTGATTGTCCCCGACCGTGACGAGGATAGATGATTTGCTCGATATTCAGTGACCCAACTGTCGTATGATTTGGCTAGGGCTTAGTGACATTTTGCTGGCCCTGCAACATGAATTGCGTAAGTAAAATTTACCTCGCGCTTCCCTTCTTCTATCTCTTTTTTATCACCCTTGTAGTATACCGCCAAACACATATCTATGAAACATATGACTTTGACTTGTGCCTTCACTAATATTTCCGATATTCATCTGAATACACTGTCGGGAATCAAAAAATATAACGTAAAAGTTGACGTCTTTGACTTACTAGTTATGCATTTACGGCATTACTTCTTGTTATAGGTAGCTCTGGACTTTGCTTGAATATATTCTCAATCATCAGTTTCTTTTCGTAACACAACCTGCACGATCTCGCCAAATTTTGTACAAATGAGTTTTACTAACATTCATATTTATCCAATGTTTCCATAATCAGTGTGCGCTATGACATATCAACCTAATTGAGTAGCTTGTTAATGTAAATCCTGTGGTAATTGCAACAATTAAATCTTACATGCCTCGAATTTTATAGACTAATCATCCATTAAGCTTAATGGTATCATGCGGATTTGAGTATGATGTTTGTATTTTCTAAAGGCATTTAGAGACCAGCTTGTTGTCTACCTTACATGTTCTTATGTCCGATCACTTATAACTGTCGCTAATTATTGGTCAAAGTAAGGGAATATTATAATTAGATTCCTTTCCAGATGATGTGGTCTGATGTTCAAGTGTGGGCCACAGCACCGACAGTGACGATGATTTGAGTGCAAAGACCAAACTTCTGTACATGGAACTCGCGCTCATTTAAGACGTCCCTGATGCGAACTTACTCAAATATGAGGAATAAACACAAATATACTTATTCAGAACATACATTTGATAAGCAGGCCTGGGAACTGTGGTCTGTATACACCGTCGGCCATTTGTGTTCTGGTCAACATATAAACTTTAATGTAATCGTGATTACTGTTTCTAAAATTTGAAACTTCAGAATGAAAAAGATTCGTGGGCCACTTGAGAATAAATGTAAGTGCAATTATGGTAATAAAACACAGGCTAGTATACCGAAGTGTCTTAAAAAGTCACCAAAATGCATTGTTATTATCAGTAATTAACGTCTTAACGTATAAAAGGCACGTTTATTACGTGACCACATTATTAACATTCAAAAGAAAACAATACGTGTGGAAGAATTATGCTACATTTATCTACAAAACAAATGTGCTGTTGTTTATAAGTATATTTTTGTCATGAGACAATAGTGGTAATTTGGTGAACTTTGTATACACAGTTGACAATAAGTAGTTCATCATGAGTGTAGTGGTGAGAGGCATGCCCTGAACTTAATTTGCTGACTATATGATGAATCTTTTATTTATATTAGTGCTCATAGATGGATGATTAGTAAATAATGTACCTGAAAGTTTAGTAAGAGTGTTAGGTTGAAGGGAATCTGTAAATCGATTTGTCTGAAAATGGGTTCATATTACACGAATATAAGTGATATACCATATGAATATTTCCACTAATTAATTATTAACAAGGAGGTAAAGTCAGTTCTTCTGGAGGTACCTGAAGAAGAAGTTGAGTTAGAGGTGGTCTTAGTGACCTGAGAGCGTAACCGCAGTGCCCAAGCAACAACGGCTTGAGGTCTGCTAAACACGACCTTTTTGTGAGTAATTTTCGTGTTGGCTCCGCACCTGTTGGGACCTTACCGCCAGAGGCGGATATCCGTGTGTATTTTTATGGTGGACCTTTTTTTAACCCCACCTCTCCTTACGGGATGGCAGCATCGCCTTTATGCTGGTTGTTTGAAGGAAATACTTTACTGCTTTCACACATCTGTACATTCAGCAGTACGTCTTCACCTTCTGACCTTAGGTTTGCTGCTTTTAGATTTTCCGTTCTTCAACCGATCTCCTTGGCATGGCAGTACCTCGAGGAACTATTGTTCCAGCCAGTAAAGCTTCACTGGCTCATCGCGGCAGGCAAGCCCGGCAGTCACATTAATGTAGAAGCAACGGCCGAGTCAGGTAGCTTCAGAAGAACCATTTCACGGTGTAAGGAACCGTGAAGTGGTAACTGCCCTCATACCTCTAACAATACCCAAGAACACTGTATTCACAATCAATCTCCCTCTTCAATTCCCACTATTCTTCCTACTTCTACTATCAATACTAAACTTCCCATTTTGGCTTCTCCTCCAAGTGTCACCATGACCAAACAAACACGAAATTGAAGATGTAACAGGCGGTACGCTGATGACGTTTATTGGTTGCAATAATATGAATCATATCGCAGGTGTTTGGCCAGCTTAACGAATCTCACATTAACATCATATTTACGACTGGTTATACGCATTGCCTCTTCTTTATGATTTTGTCGTTAACATATAGATACCAGTCAATCTTAACTATTATGTTCAGTATGTTCATTCTTCCTGTTTCTTGTGTCTTTTCATACCAAACTTCATCGATAATGGTATGTAATGAAATTTTCGCATATTATTACTTGCGTAAATTTAGGCCTTTTGTAAGTGATGAGAACACTTGAAATATAAACTCACGTATCTCTGTAAAATTTGTCATTCGCGCTCTAGTTAAATTTATCAAGGGACCAGAATGTATGAAATAAAAGTCGGATCATTGAATTCACTGAACTTTACTCAAGATTAGTTATGAAGAAAAACGGACAAATTTCAATCTATTAATGTTCACATGTCATTTAAAGTTTTATTTTGGTAATTTGTTCTACTAGACGAAATTGGAAATGTGTCTACTTTCGTTATAAGAGGAATTGAAACATTGTCAATAATCCTAATGCATTTTACTCTTTTGGTTTGAGTTACCAATATTGCTTATATCTATTTCAGTTAAAAAGATTTCCTGGACATAAATTCACGAAATAAAACCAGTCAAATAGCATATCTCTGCGAATAAAGAACACTACTAACCATACACTTGATTGTAAAAATGTACGACAGGTATTTTGTTTCTAATTAGTAAGGAAATGTTTAAATTTATACAGGTAATCTTAATTCAGTGCAACTAAGTATAACCAATAAGCTTGTTGGAAACCGATGCCCTGGTAATGTTTTGAACTGGTGTCACCTAGTAGTAAAGTCAAACATTTTATCACAGTTTGGATACCCTAATAAAATGGTCTCTATCCATAGAGTTCGTCAAAAATACTGCAATGTCTTTAGTGGCATTGATCTTGGCGGGTTTACATATGGAGCTCCCAAAAGATCTCTAACAAACATGAATTCTGTATCTAAAGCACCAAATTAATATCTACCGAAAATCCAACGTCGAGCAAAGTTATAACGACCCACAAACTTTAAAAAGTGTAAAATATCAAATGCGAATAGTAGGAAATTATTCGTTAAGTAGTGGCTTTGCTTCGTTAACCAACCACCCTCGTAGTTTGGGCCATGTTGGTAGATGCAGACTACTTGCTCGGGGTCCGCGTGACTCTCGTAACCAATGCTTGGAGACTCTTGGTGACATGGCTCAGAATCGATCACAATGGTGCAGGTGTATACACTCTTTGTCTTCCCTTAAACAGTGATATTAAAATTACTTTATACCTTTATTTCTAATACTTTCTTCCTGTATTATATCCTTATACACAATCTTTCTTTTACATATTACTGTCATTGAAGTAACTACTTTTATGAATTCGGTGTTTATCTTGCTGTACTGATGCGGTATGGCAAGTTAAACTGGTGAGGCAGCCTGCTTGAGCATCTGGGCTACCTGTTCCTGCCATCTAGATATTTCAACAAATTATCTATTTGTGTTTGTTTTAATATATCATTATGTTTATTAATCGCATAACCTATTCCGCTGCGTTTCTGAAAAGTGTACAACCTTTCGTTGTCAAAGTTACAAAAAACTCAATAAGAGCCAATGTGGTTGCTGGGAATATACAGCGAAAAGAATGCACATTATTCAGATGTTCATTTACTGAACTGCTAACATCTAACTGGCGATCACTCAATATGAGATACTCTATGTTTTCTGTTGGAAAACATTATTTTTATAAGTATATTATACAAGCCTATCAAGCGGTTGCAAACTATGGACTGTAATTCCAGGGATGACTATAATATAAACTAGGGGTTTATAAAAAAGTATGAGTATTTCGAGGTGTATAATGTCAGACACACGTCTACCAAAGTGGGTGGAAAAATATAGGCATACAACAGTTATATATACATGGCGATCGGTAATGAACAGTAAGTCAACAAAATGCAAGTGAACGTAGTTAATTGATGAGAAATGTACAGGAGAGAACTCACATCAACGTGGTGCTGATGGCAAATTGTGTTATTCTAACCAAGTAATGGGTTGTCAGCTCTGTAGATGCATGATCACTTGTAGTAGGCAATAACTTGTAGGGTTCTCTTGACAACTATATAGGATATCAGTGAGAGTACCTGACGGCCGACCGTAGTTAAACAGTATCGATAGGTCGAGTGAGTTATCTGTCTACTTCAAGCAAAAATTGAGAAGAACATATAGCTACGGGGATATATACAGCTCTTAAGATGAAGCGAAAGAGGAACGAAACCGAGAATGTGATATGATTTAGACATGTGGAAGTCACATGATATCTAATAATGGCGCAAATGTGCTTGTGCGTGCTCAGAGATCAGTAAAATCAAGAAGTCTCAAAAATGTATGTAATTTATCTAAAACAGGTATTTTACAGTGAAAACTGTTCCATACTGATGCATGCTTGATGAGAAAGAAGTTTTCCCAATTTTTGACCTAGATTTTCTAACTGTGATTGTAGATACTTTATCTCGAAGGTCACATACATATGGGCCCTGATTAAAGGCTTTATTACATGTAACATGAGAAATATTTTTGAGAAGCTTGAAGTAAGGAATCAAAATGAACTTAGGAATTCTTCTCGGAGTGGTTGAAGTCCTAGGATAAGGCATCCGTAACGACGGTCACTGAGTGATTCGGTTTTAAGCCGTCCGTAAGTAAGATCCGTTTGTATTCCTTCTACCTTCAGTATATCGAATAAACGTAAGTTGGAAACCACGTTAGGTGCTGACCACGAGGTGTGACTTCGGAGTTAGTTGTTTGTTACTCCATTTCCATCTAACTCGAGTAGAAGAAATTACTATCATCACTCGCACCGTTTAAACTTACCAAACAACAGCCTGTTACATGACAAATGCCAGTGTACAGGCAAGATCAAATCGTTGCAGAATATAGTCTTTGCTCCATTAGTTTACTCAGTCAGGTTGATAATTTATACGGTGCACTGGTCATAGAGTTATGGGGAATAACACTTTTCACATATGAATGTAAACGATATTAGTAAGACGACAGTTGTCGCGCTTCATGGAGTTTGCGCTGGAATATGCAACAGGTGATCGAGAAACACTTCACGTACAAGGTAAGTAGAAGTCTTCCTAAGACAGTTAGACTGCATCTTCTTTGCATTGCCGAGGCAATAGCCATATATTTTGAAAAACCAGAATTTTGTGTACAAAAGAGACTGGTACAACCTCTTCTTCTACCATGGTCTTAATGTATTAAAATTCTTCTTTTTCTTCATACTCTTGTTTCCTTACAGCCACCTGCTTCACCTTCCATCTTTCCTTCAAATCTTTCACCCGCAATCGCTTTGTTTTTATTTCCACGATCATTCCGATTACATTTCATCTCTGTTTCAACATTTTGTGTTATTTTATCATGCTGAGCCATCCTTACCCGATGAATACTTAAGCAATTAACTATCAGACGATTTTTAAACTTTCCTGGTTTTAAAAATTTTTTCTAATACTTTTGTTTATTTAACCTCACTCTCACCATGTATAACAGAAGTTTATTATCAGTATTATTATCACCCTGTAAAAATAAGTATATATATTTGCAGTTGTACAGCTTTGAAAATGAATTCGCTGAAAAGAGAACTCTTCGCTAAACTTATCTTTCTTTCTTATTTAATGTCATAATGTGTGTATTCCGTTTATTTTCACATCGAGCAATCGATTCTCGGAAACTGTAACTCAAAGAAAAGGTACCAGCCCCATAATTTGACTCACTCAAAAAAGACGAGACACTCACAGGAGCTTACTAGAAAAGAACTGATACAAGCCATATATCTCCTGTCCTTACCATGCAAATGTGAACCCAAAGCTGTGTTCCGTTTCTCTCACCGATTGGTGAATCACTGGAATTATTTATCAGAAAACATAATATCAGCACTTTCTGCTGATTAATTAAAACAGAGGTTGAATCTCCACAATACTAAAAATTGCAAGGGATAATATACTTCCTCTAGAAGACGAATTTTGAGTTACGTCTGGCGCTAATATATGAACCTGTGCGTTACTAATGCTCAGAGTTAGTGGACTTTCTTTAGTCTGTCGGAGAAGTTATGGGTTGTGGGGTTTCATCTATCCTAGAGAAAGCCCAGGTAAGCTAGTTAAAACGCTACTTCAATGTCGCTGAAGCTGTTAGACTATTTTACAAGACATTGAGCCTACTTGGGATACCAGTTGGAATTTTAACAGTTTATATTGCCTTGAAAAATGAGCATCATCATGAAGAAGAAATGAAAGAAAAGGAGACATTCATTCGTGTTTTTCCCAGAGAGATAAGGGTAGTTCACTTTGCTTATGTAATCTTGATTCCACCAGAAGCTACATTGGGGTGATGGTAAAACTTACTTTACGGATCACATTTCGAAATTAATAAACTATACGCCGCGCGCCACATCTACGTTTCCTAAGCCAGCAGATTAGCTAATTTGGCTTGTAAATTTCTTAGTCTCATCGCTTGCTTGTTATGCTGGTTTTGATAGTCACCAAGTTTTTTCTTGTGAACTCACCTAACGATTTATGTAGAAATACATATGTTGTTCGTAGTTATTTGCTTTAATCTCTGATGATTTGGAATTACGGGTTGCCTGCATTTATGAGGTAGAAATAAATTCGTGTCACTTGTATAAGACCATTAGACGTAATAACAGTAACCGGTATTTCTCGTACGTTCTAAAAACGGAATCCAAAAGCTCTAAAACGTTCCACCACTTTTTTATTGGGATGCCTTGTTTTCAGATGTGCTGAAAGGGTCCTTTTACTAGTGTATGAAATATTTTAACGTCCAACCCAAGTAGTTTATATGTAATTAGCTTATCCATTGTTTTTTAATTCGTTATTTGTTGTCCCAACCATCTGGGTCACTTCGCTATCATCAGTGCGTTGGAGTTAACTTTATGTAATTGTTTAGTTTCCTTCAATAACTGAATAAGTCCGTGACTCCTTAACCAAGTATAAGTTATAGTATTTAGTTTCAGAATACTAAGAACTTAAGTCGCTAGTAGCGAGATTTATACCTTCATAAACTCGTCAATAAATGCTAACATCTTTTGACAGTGGTTTTTACACAATTCCAGCCACTAAATAGATTTATTCTCTCTGTGGTAGATCAAAACCTTCATTGCTAAAGATTTGCACAACCTCTTGTAATCAGACGAAATCTGTAGTGGTTGTTCCTTCAGTACGTGCATATGAGGAGTTACATTTGTGACAGACTGATACATGAGGTGCAGTAGTTGGTCGTTTCCACCGCTTCGTTTGCCCCGGAGAATTTCCCGTCTTTAGTGGGTTGGTGTCTGGCGAAATCTGAACACGAACTCAGGAGGACCACTTGCATTCTACCAACTTTCACTACATGTGGCCCAAGCGAATTGACCATCCTTCAACTAAAAGGCGAGTTTACTGCACAACACAACAGCTTCGTACTATTTTATGGATAAGGGATGTGATTTGTCGAAGTATGCGTTAATTGAGGGTTATGTATCATAGGTACATTCTAAGCATTGCTTTCGTTTCTTGAGACTACCGAATAAACCACACCGGTGTCATATGACTCCGTAGACCGCGAGACTTTGTGGCAGTGTCTGTCATTGAAAGGCGTACCTTAGAAGTACATAAACCCTGTGAAGGCTCTTCACTCGAACACTACTAGTCGAGTCAGAGCTTATGGAGAACTGCCATCTGCTTTTGCAACCTCAAGTGGTGTCCGTCAAGGCTGTCCACTTTCTCCGTTGTTGTTTATCTTCATCGTAGACCTACTGATGGAAATAACGTTCATGTCGACTGAATTCTGGCGCATTGATCCCCTTCCAGGAGGTCCAATTATCGACTTAGAATACGCAGATGACATAGTCTTTTTTGGTGAAGACGCTGATAAAATGCAGTCTTTTGGTATCACTAAGCAACAATGCCAGAATGTTTGGGATGCGCTTCTCTCCTTCTAAATGCAAGTTGTTGCTTCAGGACTGGTCTGCGTCAACATCTGAACTAAGGATAGGGAGTGAAGTCAGTCCAGGCACATATGTGCATCGGTCCAAGTTACCATACCGCATTAGCACATCAAGATGAACACCAGATTAATAGGAGTAGTTAGGTCAATGGTGGTAATATATAAAAGACAGATTTCATATTAGGATATAGTACAGGAAGAAAGGTCTAGTACATAGAAAGAAAGATATGAAGCGATTTAATCTCATAGTTTAAGGGAAGACAGGGAGTGTATACACCTAAACCATTGTGATCGATTCTGAGCCATGTCACCAAGAGTCTCCAAGCATTGGTTACGAGAGTCACGCGGACCCCAAGCAAATAGTCTGCATCTACCGACATGGCTCGGACTCGAAGTTAATGACTTTATGAACTGATTTCACGTTTTTGTTTGTTCGCCCCTAACCTTCTTCCAACCATCCCCCACACCGGTTAGCATTGCACGTCGTGGTAATCGGTGTTCAGGCATGAGCAACACGTGGCCTAACCATCTCAGTCAGTGAAGGTTCACAACCTCATCAACTGACTTACCATCATTCCCTAATACTCTGAGTATAACCTCACCATTACTTACGCAGTGATCCCAGACCCTAGCGTCCGTCTAACTTGTTATTGCCCCCAAATGCCCTGGTACGGCCGCAAGTGGGGGAAGTCCGCTCTCCCTCTCGAAATGCTCTCACATGGCCACGCGTATATAGCTCCTGCCAGGGAAGTCCTACTCACTGCCTTCTCGTGGCGGGGGTGTTTACGAAATCGAGAGGACTAAAAGCGAACGTCCGGCGCTTTAACCGGGCTGGTGGACACGGAGAGTCCACCTAGTGGAGCTGGAAAACCCTGATTCCAAACCAATGGTGGACATGGGATCCAGTATCCTGAAGGAACAAACGGCGTAGGAACCAATCGTTGGTCACCGGCTACCATGGGTCTGCATCTCCTTAGGTTGCTCCACTGCCTTGTGGAACAGACCCTCAGGTCGAAGGCTCCGGGTGTGGCTCCCTAAGAAAACCACCTGCTTCGTTTTGGGCACTCGGGCAGTATCACAGCCCTCACACATACCAAGTGAGATCTGTGTGGTGCATATGTATTTGGTGCTTCCTCCTTTTCTTACTAGTAATAGTAGTAGTAATTTTCCCAATACATTTTGGGCCAAAGAAAGTAATTCGGGATGGCATAATATTATGTCAAATGAAATTTAAAATTTATCTGATGAATACACATGATCAGTTTCTCCAGAGAATTGAAGTGTCTTTAGATGTATGAGTTGCCGTTTTTTGCAAACTGGTTCTAACAATTTCTTTAACTATCGAGGCAAATTATGATCTAGGGGTTTATCTTTGATATTACAGGTTATAAGGGGGCATCTGAATTGTTGACTCTAGAAAGACCATGATGTTTGTTCACCATTTACAAACGTAATGATAGAAAAATCTATAGATAAGATATTCCAGCACTACAAATTACCCCCTTTGCCTGAAAATGAGTTGAGAAAATTACTACTAGTGTGGTGTGTGCTACGTATGTTGATAGACATAAGTAGAATATTTATTTATTTAGGCAAATAAACATTGGTACAAGGAGGCAACAAATATATATTTGTCACAATTCGTCATTCGATTTGTGTGAGGCCTGAAATACTGTCCGGGTCCTAAAATCGAAGCAGTTGGTTTTCTTAGGGGGACAATCCCCGGGCCTTCGATCTAGATGTCTCATCCGGAAGGCAGTGCAGCAAAGTTAGTAGACGCAGTTCCATGGTAGCCGGTGACCAACGGTTTGTTCATACGCCATTTGTTCCCTCAGGATCCTGGAGCCCATGTGCACCATTGGTTTGGAATCAGTTTCCCAATCCCTTTAGGTGAATCCTCCGTACTCACCAACTCGGTTAAAGCGCTGGACATTATCTTTTCGTTCTCTCAGTTTTTTAAACAACAGTAATGTCGTGGGAAGGCAATGAGTAGGGCTGTATGCACGTGGAAATATGAAAGCATTTCGAGAGGGAGAGCTGACTCCCTCCACCCTCGGATGTACCAGGGCATTAGGGGGCTATGTAGTATGTAGCACCAGTCGGAAGTGGAATGCCTGCCAACAGAAAGTTGGATTGAGAAGAACATGAAAGAAAACGAACTATTGGGATAACAACAGAAGTGGAACAATTTATGAAGTACATAAGCAACAAGTGAAGGGAGATATACAACTAATGTATCTAATGCACAGTTTCCATATTTTACGAGGACACTGCATATATATCACAATAACAATCGAAGTAACAATCCTCCAATTATTTTGATGTTTTGCCTTCTTTCCGTACATCTTTCAATATTTTGTCATGTTTCTATTGTCGATTGTTCCACCTAAAAGTTTTCTGTCTAGTCATATTTTTAGAGTGAAATGAAAAAGAAATATTTCGATGAACATAAAATGTGTCAACTTGCTTTAACGGAGAAAAACAGTCCAGCGTAAAAGAAAAAACAATCATGTAGAGGATGAAGAGAGAAGATAAAACACATTTTTCTGTAAGGCTTGTTGATTTAAAAAATAAAAAATCTATATTCATTGAGAATATCCTTGAAAAAATGGAAATAAAGTAAAGCAAATGAATAGAAGCTAACATTCAATGATAGGCTATAGTCATTCTAATTATTGTTAAATTCTGCTTCTTATTTGTCTAGGCTCAATGAAGTTTTGAACAAAAACTTCATTATGTATTATATTGGTTAATTACTACTCTTTTTAACAAGACATACACGTGGCATTATTCATCTGTGGTGTAAAGTAAAAAATACTATTTAAGAAGTTCTAAACATTTATGGAAAAAGTAATGGCTTATTGTCTGAAGGAGGAAAACAACATGAACTTTCTTTGAATTTAAAGGATGTTGGAAAAGATGTATATATTATCAAATTACTAAAAACTTGTAGATCATTAGGTTGTTAGCTATATTTGTGAAATTCACTAAATGTATAATATTATAGTCTGATAAGACTTTACTTATTCATTTTCAGATTACTGCTTACCATTAAGTAGTACATGTAAAACATTAAAGGCATAAAGGTTTAAAGAAAATATGTTCACCTTCTAGATTATTGGTCAAAGGTTACTAAGACATGAATGTTTAATTAAATTTGACTTATTTCCAGGATTTCAACTGGAAATAGTAAGTAATAAGGATGAATAATTTCATTATCAAAATGTAAAACTAAATGAAAACATCTTTCCTTGGAAAAGTGGTTATCTTTACCATTTAAAGTAATCTTTTTTTAACCTAAAACTTAAAAAAAGCTAAAGTATTTGAATATTTTAAATATGACTTAAACATAAATTCCTAATTACAATTTCTTCATTTCAGTTATGCAATATAAAGATCAAGTTCTTTATGATGATATACATTAGCATTTATCTTATTGAATAGTTTACTTAATATAATATTATATTTAATTAAA